AAATTTATTACCGTTTTCAAAAGTAATCGCATCAAATTCTTTTCTCCGCAAAATCGTAAGACTTGTTTACTAGTTGTCTGGTCGTACGTCCCAATTTGTAAAGTCAACCGTCTTTTGCAAAATCAGTTTTTGTTTGACTGTTTATAAAAATTTTTGGCAATGACCCGCTAAATGTAATGACGTTCAGATCAGGTGACTGTTGATCTGTTCACCGAGCTTTGCGACTGACTTGCAAACGTCTGGTCACCATGCGAAGAGGCATCATCAGTGCGCAGTTGGGTGGGGCAAGTTGCAAGTCAGCTGCTAAGTTCGGGGAAGAGATCAAGTCACCTGATCTACAACCAATTAACTCAATCGAGCCACCACTATTTCAACAGATTAACAAAGTGAATTTTTATGAGCTCTCAGGATTCACTTGAAGTCTAAAGCGATGCCCAGGTTGCGCATTCAGCCAACGGCTTATTCGTCATGTTCACAAGGCAAGCGCAATGACTGTGCTTGCTGTCATTGCAACCCTGCAATCACTTGAAGTCTAAAGCGATGCCCAGGTTGAGCATTCAGCCAACGGCTTATACGTCATGTTCTCAAGGCAAACGCAATGACTGTGCTTACTGTCATTGCAGCCCCGCAACCCTCTGGATAAGTCTAACGACAGTGTTTCCTAGATCACTTGTACTTTTAGTTTTGACGTCATGAAAACCTTGTGGGATAACCCAGAATTCGACAAAATCCTGTGAGGCCAGCGCGATCCTCAAATCTGGCTGCCTTACTGGCTGCATAGGTTCAAAGATAGATTTTCACAAATCGGTTTGTCTAAATAAACTTTATTCCACACGAAGAACTGGCAGTTACCAAATCATGGCTTGGCTTTCCCAGGGGGTTCACAAGAAAACTGTGTATAGATTGAGAATACCTTATCCACAAGAAGTTCTTTATTTTTGATGAGGTTGGTACGCCCATTTCCTTTTTGCTCCGCTAAATTTCAGCAAGGGCGGAGAGTCTCTTTGGGCTGGGAATTTCGGGAGCCTGCTAGACCTTGTCTCCAATCAGCCGACTGGAATTCAAGTTCAATCATTTACAAGTGGGGTTATAAGGAGCTTGTCACGATCTATGACGAGGTAGGTGCAATCATCCACAAGATGGTTTCATTCGTGCACCAATTTCGTTTAGACGGAAGACTCAACTTAATTCAGTTGAATCTCTCTTCAACTTAATGTACCGCACAAGTTAACTTCGTGTTTCAGTTGAATAGTGTGTTACGTCTAGAAAATATATTGGAATATTTCGAGTATCCTACCAACTGAAACATAAGGTGGCCTTGTGCATCACATCCAGTTGGAAAAGGCCATGATAAAAGAGAGTGAGCTGGATTCAGTTGAGTTTCCAGTCAAAAGGCGAAAGTATTTCGTTAATCCCGTTCAATGTGGGTTCAGGCAGGACGTAAGGTCGAGAGAAGCGCGAGGACTGCGCCTACCTGATGAGCCCAGGAAGGGCGAAGCCGGTAGTCCACCTGTCGGAGAGATTTTAGCGACCTTCTGAGTAGTGAGTTCTGTCCAGATGTACCTTTCTTCAATGGTCCGACTGGCTGAGAATGTCAGTAGAGTGTCACACCAAGAGTAACACACAATTCAAGCTCTGTCAATTGTGCAAGCCGGTCAATCTGCACCTGGTCTGCTGCTAGTTGACTCTATTCACCAAGAGTTCACAAATGAATTCCACGAAGATATACTGAAGGACTTTTATTAGCCATCCGACATCAGTGTGCCCATCAAAATCCATAACAATTACGCAGGATGCCCAAAACATTTTCCAGGACAAATGCGATAGTCAACTTTCGTAGCGCTGATTTGTGTTAAACTTAAATGCGGCATTCCTAGAATCTTGTGAGATTCGTTTTAGCTATGACGCCTGAAAAAATTTGCACAACATGACGTCCTCAGGATATACTGTGTACCAAATGTGAGTATTTCACTTGGGCATCATTCAGCCCGAGCTGAGTCCACCGTTTTTAAAGTTTCGATGCATATGAATACCAGCATAGACAGCTTCCGTCCACTCGAACCGCTGGACAGCTTTCAACAAGAAGCAGCGTTCCGTTGGTTACCTTTTTGGACTATACGCTTTGCACCAGTGCTTCGTCATATTGAGATTGATGAGAACTTTCCTATACAACCTAACGCCAAGTATAGAAACGATCCAATATCAATCCAGAGATGACGTCTTTTTGGATTCATTGGACCAAGCTCACCTCACCACAATCCACCAACTTCCTATCCATCAAACTGTCAGATCCCGCATTATCAAGCTGTTGGTTTTCCCGGTCCTCTATCTATCGGAATCCCAAACTCAACCGTTATCGGAAGCTTGACAAACATATATTTGAACGATTGGGAACTAGGTTCGTCATCCCGTACGCTAGTCACAAACTGTTCGTGGCCTGATGTTTACTCTCCTTGAAACCATGTGTCGGAGATAACCTGAATGTGACTCTGCACCGACCTTGGTTTCGGCAACCGACTCCTGCTGTTTTTCCACTTTGTTTTAAATTATGAACCGCGGATATTTCCTTGTACGTCTGTTTCCGTGGTCAATCTGTCGACAGGTATTACTGCTGAACAGAGTTCCCGACCTGGGTTTTTTTTCGTTCAGCTGTAACACCCCTTTTGGCCCTAGCTGCCGTGCCACACGAAGGAGGCACGAGGACTGGGATACTGCCAGGTCGCCCAAGCCTAGACAGGAGTTCACATCACTGATATCAGCATGTAATCCGAGGCGCTACTAGGGGGCTAATTGGTGTGAATACACAGTTATCTATCACAACGATGATCATACGCACTGAAGGGAGTCTCGTGAGAGGTGAAGTGCTCGGGGGAGACAACCAGTTTGCTCAATATAGGCTACGACTTAACGACAAAACACAGTTTGACTGACCGAAGTTTCGAGCATGAGATTTTGGGCTTGTTACATGGAAACTTTCTGAGTTTATGAAGAGGGATGGTTTCTAATTCTACCATAACAACAGTTCAGTTGTCCAACAACTGTCCTCAGTGCGGCCTCGTGGTTGATCATGGTAACCCCAAAGTATGGACTGTATGCACTCTTAAGGGACTGAATTTACCTGCTCCTTTTGAGGGGTCTACCCTATAACCAGTGGGTAATCAAATTCATCGACAGATCCAATGAAACGTGCGAAATTTGTTTCGTAACTTCATCAGTTAGATCAATGCATGTTTTGGACTGAGGCCAAACGGATAGTGTGATTATCAGTGACGACAGGCGATGGCATAAAAGCTAAGCTAACCTAAAGAAAATAAAGAAAAAAACACAAGCTAAGCTAAAGAAAATAACTGGATCTGAACGGATGCGGCGGGAGAGGATTTTTCGTCTGTATAAGGGTAACGATCTATCTATGGTTCCTCCGTTCCATTGGAATGAGATCTCACCTATGGATTTTGGTTAGCATCGCCCTTGCCCCCGCACAACATGGTTCGTAACTCCCATCCGCAGTTCAGGACAGAACCACAAAGCGGACTGTCCTTCAAAGCACAAATGCAACCACTATAAAAATTCAGCAGCTCGTCCGTTTGAGTTAATCTGTAACACGCAACGCCAAAAATGTTTCAGATGCGCTAAGTTACAGTCACATGCATTGAAGTCATACACTGGTCGGTCAACAGCGTCACTGAAATTTTCACTTACCTGTACATCTTTGATGAAAACACCAAAGCACATCGATTGTGCATAATTTTGGCACCTCTAGCTCTAGTCGATATGAGTAACTCGCAAGCACATAGACGACAGCAGTCAGGTTAAGAATTTGCTGAAAAATGCAAATAACTTGGACCCAAAATGCAACTGCGCGTTTCGCGGTGATCGATCGACCTCCTATGTCACGTTTGCAACTCACATGCGAAAAACGAACTGTTCATCTGCGTTCACCACTATCTTCTTCTATAAACGGTGGAACTCTGGCTGTTCATCAGTTCTAGTGAATGGATTTGTTTTCAAGTTGCCAAATTCCGGGGTGTGGTTTCATTTTTTGGTACAACGCTCGGCGTCATGTAGTGGTGAACTTCGACACTCATGGATTGAGTAGGTAAATGAAACTTGACAGCGTAGGATTAGCACAAAGGGTTTATTTACAGGTGAGTGATACACGCTTCAAAAAGAGTGTACATCCTATAGGGTCTAAAGAACGCTTTAGTGATAACTTTGCAAGTTCTGCCAGTCAGTGATGCGCATGTTAGAAATTAAGCCTTGAGTTGACAGGTTAGAATTGAAGTCCTCCGAGAACACACGGTTCTGGAAAGAGCGAATTTTCTAATGTAAAAACACAATCGTTATAGATACCCAACGAGCCATTGTGAACGATCTGGTTGCAGGCTTCGCAACAGAACTTTCTAGAAAATGATTGAGATGGTAGTCTTACATCCGCCTTTATTGCGCCTTTTCAGAACCCATTGCTATAAGTGTGGACGTAAACATTGTGACCGACGCAAGCGAAGAATTCATGGTTAAAAATTTGGACGCGAAAGTCTGTGGGCGGTCAGTTCACCACGGCGTGCCAGATGAAGAACAATCGGCAATCCACGCCGGAGTGCTGACAGATCGGCGTTTACTTGCTTGCTTAAAAAAGCCCTTAAAATGAGTGGGCCAATGGGGCACAGCAAAATTTTCAAGAAAAAAAGCGACGAGCTGTGAGTTGTTTGCATATCGGTGTTCCATTGTCCACTGAAACTGCTGTGCTCTCGAGGTCAACCTAGTTGATCCTTACGTGCTTGAAGAGGTCCTAACATTCCGGTCGTTCGACCGTCAGTGGACGGGAGCAGACTTCCTAACATAAATATTTGAGCGCAATCAAATATTTGAACAACGATTTCGAATGCTTTACCCAACGAGAGTGAGCATCGCAAGACGGGAGGAAGACTGTTCAAACCCTGACTAGGAACGTCCAATCTTCATAAATAATTGACCTAGCGTACACCATTATCCAACAAACCACCCAAGGAAAAAGATTTATTTTATCATGTTTGATAATTTGTTCGCTTGGTGCGAGAGACAAACGTCTGGCGGAAAGTAAACAACTGGCTGGGATCAGGCGATTGAATAAGGTACATTGTAAGGGTCATAGAACAATAAGAGCCAAGTATATATGGTAAATTCTGGTTGATTTCTTTGTGTCTGATAGCGTATTGATGTGTTTGTTTCTTTGAGGAACTGAGGAGAAGGGAGGAAAAGTGGGCGGAGCATATTTTTAGTAATGCCAATGTGAAGAAAAGTAATGTAAATAAGAGGGAACCGATACAAGCAAATTTTTCCTCTGTCCGAAATAGATCCAAATCATACTTGAGGGTCGATCAAAGCAATGGATTGAAAATAAGTAATGGTTATGTTATTTTATTTAGTGGAGAGGGCTGGACATTGGTACGTGAGTCACTGAATGTCTTTGAAAAGTTGTACTCAAAAGAATCTGGCGCCAGTTGCATAATCGCGATGGGCGTACAATTTGTCTGACTCGAAACATGGGTTAAAAGCGGTGAACGGTACATTGGCAAGCTTCAGGAATAAGTATATTATAAAGAGGTCGCTTGAGTAGGTCGGCCTGCGTGCACAGTTCACTTCGGGAGAAGATAACAGTTTGAATCCAGAGGAGCATCAGTAAGGATAGGATCATGCACTGGATCCCTGTTTATTAGCTGTGCAAGTCTGGGGGAAACAGCCGACTTGAGGAAATTTGGAAACAGCGGAAGATGCGATAGAAGTAAGGAGATAACAAGTTAGCTCTAGCTCACTGGCTAACTGGATCACTTCCTAATATTTGAGTGCCTAGGGTTGCTGGGACACAGCAGCACTCGTAGGGGCGTGGATAAATATAGAATACCACAAATATCTAGCATATGTGCGTTTGGTGTTGTAGCATGGTTGAGCGCAAGAGAGGGAGAGGGAGAAACAGCATTGGGGAAATATGTGTGTGTAACCGGCAATCACCGCGTCACACTGGGTACACCAAGGTGCTTGTTTGTGAGTTAGGGGAGATTTGAAAGATGCCAAACAGCACATACTTTAAAACAAATTCCACTGAAAAGGATTAGGAAAAATAGGCCAATCCAAAGTAACAAATTACGGAGCCGCTGTGATGTGATGTTCTTGAGGGCGCCTTTCACTGCGAAACGACTAGAGAATCGGAGGCACCGAATAGTGCCCAGAGGGTTTGATTGATGCGTATGGTATGGACTCAATTCGTAGGGCTTGGACGTATTCCGATATTCAGATGAATTAGTCTTGGATAGTGCACCAGTGCAATCATCACGTACTTGGGCGAAACGGTTAATTGTGGATATGTGCTTAGAATGCGCGATATCCTGCTGATATGGTAGGTCCATATCCGAATATTTCGGGTAATTATTGTCATCAGGGTAGGCAGGACGAACCGGAATTTGCTCAGTTAAAGGGTTCGAAACATTAGTCTGAAAGCATTTGGGTAAAACAGCATAACTGCCTTTTGGATGGAAAAGTATACAAATTGGCCAACAAACAATTGGTTGTTAACTGAACTCTTCTTCGTGGTCATCCACATCGGCAGCGACAACCTGCAGAGCAAACGTCCACGTGGAAATGATTCCGTTTGGACCAGTTGCGTTGATTTTATAGACACCATTGTCCTTGCGATGTCTCACGTCTAGTAATCTGCATATACTTGAGGATGCCGAGTCATCGAATTCGATTCGGCTTGGATCAATCAGTTTGTCATTCCGACGCCATTCCACTGAAAGTGGGAAAGATGAACCGAATTCAGCTGACCAATGGTGGTCTTGTTTGAAAACATGGAGCATTCATATGTGGAACGTTTCTATAATAATAAAGATGTTACGAGTACTCAAAACTCTCAGATGATTGTCCATCCGGAATACCTTAAGAATACCGATTATTACTCCTGATTGGTTGAATAAGTTAAGTTTATTTGGTTTGCATGTATGATGCATCGACTGTGGCGGAAAAATTAATGCTGACCGAAATTCTGATCCTGTAATAATGCAGAATACGCGACATTTCGTGCCCCAATAATTTTTCTCCCAAAACAATCTACATTCCTGAAGGCTTTACAGTTCAACTACTCGTCGCTTCACTTTTTACGATTAAAAAAGGAGTTCGCGCTTCAAGCCATCCATTACTCTATTTTCGGTCCCTCGGTATTCGTACTTCAGTATTCTTGTATTTTTCCCGCAGCATTTTTCCCCACCAAAACAACTGCGTTGTTTTTAACTCTTGCCAAAAAGTAAGGATGTACCTGTTTTCCATCCTGTACCATCCTGGCGATCCAATCTGGCGCATCTAGTGAACTGGAGGTCTTTAACGGCATCACCTTCAAAGATAGTTAATGATATGTTTTACTTTGTAGCAAAAAACAGGTGAGTTGTGTTGCAACAGAAGTTGTTCTCTTCTAATATGCTTTGTCTCTACCTCCCAGTATGGCTAACTTTTCATCCTTATAAGAAGTAGTTTACGTAACGTCATCCCCAAAAGCGGCTTACCAGGTCTGACTCAAACACCTCGACGTAAATCCATCATCTTTATTTCACAGAGGATTCTCGGATAACTTTGATTGACAATGTGCTATGCTATCGTTAAACGAGTTCCCGCCCAACGGATGATCCGCTGACATACGTCTGGTCATTGGCTCCGAATACACTATGCCCTACTAAAAGGTACACAGGCCGTTCACCCCTAGTGTGAACAGGCGGGTGTACTGCAACTGCTAACAGCTCTTTGAATACATATCTGTTCAGTTGCTTTGTTTAGCACATTCTGTGAAGGACTTATTTGACTTTCAGGCCTGCATTTCCAAACTAGCGGCTTTGAAGCACACCAAAACATGTTGATTGACGGACCCAGTTGGTTCGTATTGGTGCGCTTCACCGTTTAAAGTCACCTATCGGCTGGATACCGCATCGATAGGACGGAAAGCAAAATAAAGCCCTCAACCTTAGCAAACGTGAAGGCCATATTACGTCACCTTCTGTCGGAGTATTCTAGCTACCGCTGAAAGAAGCCCATGGTCGTTATATGCATCGATATATTAACTACCACACAAAGTTAGCAAGTAGCTACATAATGCACTGAACAGTAGCTCGCAAAAGAGCCCGAAATTAAATGACCCTCCAAAAGCAACGTTCGGGATGATACATGGTTGGCTAGCGGGCCACTTGAAATTTTATTAAAAATCCTTCTAGCAAACGCATGGGCCAAAGAGGGAAGCCCGCGCTTAAAAAAGCCCTTAAAATGAGTGGGCCAATGGGGCACAGCAAAATTTTCAAGAAAAAAAGCGACGAGCTGTGAGTTGTTTGCATATCGGTGTTCCATTGTCCACTGAAACTGCTGTGCTCTCGAGGTCAACCTAGTTGATCCTTACGTGCTTGAAGAGGTCCTAACATTCCGGTCGTTCGACCATCAGTGAACGGGAGCAGACTTCCTAACATAAATATTTGAGCGCAATCAAATATTTGAACAACGATCTCGAATGCTTTACCCAACGAGAGTGAGCATCGCAAGACGGGAGGAAGACTGTTCAAACCCTGACTAGGAACGTCCAATCTTCATAAATAATTGACCTAGCGTACACCATTATCCAACAAACCACCCAAGGAAAAAGATTTATTTTATCATGTTTGATAATTTGTTCGCTTGGTGCGAGAGACAAACGTCTGGCGGAAAGTAAACAACTGGCTGGGATCAGGCGATTGAATAAGGTACATTGTAAGGGTCATAGAACAATAAGAGCCAAGTATATATGGTAAATTCTGGTTGATTTCTTTGTGTCTGATAGCGTATTGATGTGTTTGTTTCTTTGAGGAACTGAGGAGAAGGGAGGAAAAGTGGGCGGAGCATATTTTTAGTAATGCCAATGTGAAGAAAAGTAATGTAAATAAGAGGGAACCGATACAAGCAAATTTTTCCTCTGTCCGAAATAGATCCAAATCATACTTGAGGGTCGATCAAAGCAATGGATTGAAAATAAGTAATGGTTATGTTATTTTATTTAGTGGAGAGGGCTGGACATTGGTACGTGAGTCACTGAATGTCTTTGAAAAGTTGTACTCAAAAGAATCTGGCGCCAGTTGCATAATCGCGATGGGCGTACAATTTGTCTGACTCGAAACATGGGTTAAAAGCGGTGAACGGTACATTGGCAAGCTTCAGGAATAAGTATATTATAAAGAGGTCGCTTGAGTAGGTCGGCCTGCGTGCACAGTTCACTTCGGGAGAAGATAACAGTTTGAATCCAGAGGAGCATCAGTAAGGATAGGATCATGCACTGGATCCCTGTTTATTAGCTGTGCAAGTCTGGGGGAAACAGCCGACTTGAGGAAATTTGGAAACAGCGGAAGATGCGATAGAAGTAAGGAGATAACAAGTTAGCTCTAGCTCACTGGCTAACTGGATCACTTCCTAATATTTGAGTGCCTAGGGTTGCTGGGACACAGCAGCACTCGTAGGGGCGTGGATAAATATAGAATACCACAAATATCTAGCATATGTGCGTTTGGTGTTGTAGCATGGTTGAGCGCAAGAGAGGGAGAGGGAGAAACAGCATTGGGGAAATATGTGTGTGTAACCGGCAATCACCGCGTCACACTGGGTACACCAAGGTGCTTGTTTGTGAGTTAGGGGAGATTTGAAAGATGCCAAACAGCACATACTTTAAAACAAATTCCACTGAAAAGGATTAGGAAAAATAGGCCAATCCAAAGTAACAAATTACGGAGCCGCTGTGATGTTCGTGCTTTGAGGGCGCCTTTCACTGCGAAACGACCAGAGAATCGGAGGCACCGAATAGTGCCCAGAGGGTTTGATTGATGCGTATGGATTGGACTCAATTCGTAGGGCTTGGACGTATTCCGATATTCAGATGAATTAGTCTTGGATAGTGCACCAGTGCAATCATCACGTACTTGGGCGAAACGGTTAATTGTGGATATGTGCTTAGAATGCGCGATATCCTGCTGATATGGTAGGTCCATATCCGAATATTTCGGGTAATTATTGTCATCAGGGTAGGCAGGACGAACCGGAATTTGCTCAGTTAAAGGGTTCGAAACATTAGTCTGAAAGCATTTGGGTAAAACAGCATAACTGCCTTTTGGATGGAAAAGTATACAAATTGGCCAACAAACAATTGGTTGTTAACTGAACTCTTCTTCGTGGTCATCCACATCGGCAGCGACAACCTGCAGAGCAAACGTCCACGTGGAAATGATTCCGTTTGGACCAGTTGCGTTGATTTTATAGACACCATTGTCCTTGCGATGTCTCACGTCTAGTAATCTGCATATACTTGAGGATGCCGAGTCATCGAATTCGATTCGGCTTGGATCAATCAGTTTGTCATTCCGACGCCATTCCACTGAAAGTGGGAAAGATGAACCGAATTCAGCTGACCAATGGTGGTCTTGTTTGAAAACATGGAGCATTCATATGTGGAACGTTTCTATAATAATAAAGATGTTACGAGTACTCAAAACTCTCAGATGATTGTCCATCCGGAATACCTTAAGAATACCGATTATTACTCCTGATTGGTTGAATAAGTTAAGTTTATTTGGTTTGCATGTATGATGCATCGACTGTGGCGGAAAAATTAATGCTGACCGAAATTCTGATCCTGTAATAATGCAGAATACGCGACATTTCGTGCCCCAATAATTTTTCTCCCAAAACAATCTACATTCCTGAAGGCTTTACAGTTCAACTACTCCGTCGCTTCATTTTTACGATTAAAAAAGGAGTTCGCGCTTCAAGCCATCCATTACTCTATTTTCGGTCCCTCGGTATTCGTACTTCAGTAATCCTGTATTTTCCCGCAGCATTTTTCCCCACCAAAACAACTGCGTTGTTTTTAACTCTTGCCAAAAAGTAAGGATGTACCTGTTTTCCATCCTGTACCATCCTGGCGATCCAATCTGGCGCATCTAGTGAACTGGAGGTCTTTAACGGCATCACCTTCAAAGATAGTTAATGATATGTTTTACTTTGTAGCAAAAAACAGGTGAGTTGTGTTGCAACAGAAGTTGTTCTCTTCTAATATGCTTTGTCTCTACCTCCCAGTATAGCTAACTTTTCATCCTTATAAGAAGTAGTTTACGTAACGTCATCCCCAAAAGCGGCTTACCAGGTCTGACTCAAACACCTCGACGTAAATCCATCATCTTTATTTCACAGAGGATTCTCGGATAACTTTGATTGACAATGTGCTATGCTATCGTTAAACGAGTTCCCGCCCAACGGATGATCCGCTGACATACGTCTGGTCATTGGCTCCGAATACACTATGCCCTACTAAAAGGTACACAGGCCGTTCACCCCTAGTGTGAACAGGCGGGTGTACTGCAACTGCTAACAGCTCTTTGAATACATATCTGTTCAGTTGCTTTGTTTAGCACATTCTGTGAAGGACTTATTTGACTTTCAGGCCTGCATTTCCAAACTAGCGGCTTTGAAGCACACCAAAACATGTTGATTGACGGACCCAGTTGGTTCGTATTGGTGCGCTTCACCGTTTAAAGTCACCTATCGGCTGGATACCGCATCGATAGGACGGAAAGCAAAATAAAGCCCTCAACCTTAGCAAACGTGAAGGCCATATTACGTCACCTTCTGTCGGAGTATTCTAGCTACCGCTGAAAGAAGCCCATGGTCGTTATATGCATCGATATATTAACTACCACACAAAGTTAGCAAGTAGCTACATAATGCACTGAACAGTAGCTCGCAAAAGAGCCCGAAATTAAATGACCCTCCAAAAGCAACGTTCGGGATGATACATGGTTGGCTAGCGGGCCACTTGAAATTTTATTAAAAATCCTTCTAGCAAACGCATGGGCCAAAGAGGGAAGCCCGCGCAAGTTCTGCCAGTCAGTGATGCGCATGTTAGAAATTAAGCCTTGAGTTGACAGGTTAGAATTGAAGTCCTCCGAGAACACACGGTTCTGGAAAGAGCGAATTTTCTAATGTAAAAACACAATCGTTATAGATACCCAACGAGCCATTGTGAACGATCTGGTTGCAGGTTTCGCAACAGAAGTTTCTAGGAAATGATTGAGACGGTAGTCTTACATCCGCCTTCATTGCGCCTTTTCAGAACCCATTGCTATAAGTGTGGACGTAAACATTGTGACCGACGCAAGCGAAGAATTCATGGTTAAAAATTTGGACGCGAAAGTCTGTGGGCGGTCAGTTCACCACGGCGTGCCAGATGAAGAACAATCGGCAATCCACGCCGGAGTGCTGACAGATCGGCGTTTACTTGCTTGCTTAAAAAAGCCCTTAAAATGAGTGGGCCAATGGGGCACAGCAAAATTTTCAAGAAAAAAAGCGACGAGCTGTGAGTTGTTTGCATATCGGTGTTCCATTGTCCACTGAAACTGCTGTGCTCTCGAGGTCAACCTAGTTGATCCTTACGTGCTTGAAGAGGTCCTAACATTCCGGTCGTTCGACCATCAGTGAACGGGAGCAGACTTCCTAACATAAATATTTGAGCGCAATCAAATATTTGAACAACGATCTCGAATGCTTTACCCAACGAGAGTGAGCATCGCAAGACGGGAGGAAGACTGTTCAAACCCTGACTAGGAACGTCCAATCTTCATAAATAATTGACCTAGCGTACACCATTATCCAACAAACCACCCAAGGAAAAAGATTTATTTTATCATGTTTGATAATTTGTTCGCTTGGTGCGAGAGACAAACGTCTGGCGGAAAGTAAACAACTGGCTGGGATCAGGCGATTGAATAAGGTACATTGTAAGGGTCATAGAACAATAAGAGCCAAGTATATATGGTAAATTCTGGTTGATTTCTTTGTGTCTGATAGCGTATTGATGTGTTTGTTTCTTTGAGGAACTGAGGAGAAGGGAGGAAAAGTGGGCGGAGCATATTTTTAGTAATGCCAATGTGAAGAAAAGTAATGTAAATAAGAGGGAACCGATACAAGCAAATTTTTCCTCTGTCCGAAATAGATCCAAATCATACTTGAGGGTCGATCAAAGCAATGGATTGAAAATAAGTAATGGTTATGTTATTTTATTTAGTGGAGAGGGCTGGACATTGGTACGTGAGTCACTGAATGTCTTTGAAAAGTTGTACTCAAAAGAATCTGGCGCCAGTTGCATAATCGCGATGGGCGTACAATTTGTCTGACTCGAAACATGGGTTAAAAGCGGTGAACGGTACATTGGCAAGCTTCAGGAATAAGTATATTATAAAGAGGTCGCTTGAGTAGGTCGGCCTGCGTGCACAGTTCACTTCGGGAGAAGATAACAGTTTGAATCCAGAGGAGCATCAGTAAGGATAGGATCATGCACTGGATCCCTGTTTATTAGCTGTGCAAGTCTGGGGGAAACAGCCGACTTGAGGAAATTTGGAAACAGCGGAAGATGCGATAGAAGTAAGGAGATAACAAGTTAGCTCTAGCTCACTGGCTAACTGGATCACTTCCTAATATTTGAGTGCCTAGGGTTGCTGGGACACAGCAGCACTCGTAGGGGCGTGGATAAATATAGAATACCACAAATATCTAGCATATGTGCGTTTGGTGTTGTAGCATGGTTGAGCGCAAGAGAGGGAGAGGGAGAAACAGCATTGGGGAAATATGTGTGTGTAACCGGCAATCACCGCGTCACACTGGGTACACCAAGGTGCTTGTTTGTGAGTTAGGGGAGATTTGAAAGATGCCAAACAGCACATACTTTAAAACAAATTCCACTGAAAAGGATTAGGAAAAATAGGCCAATCCAAAGTAACAAATTACGGAGCCGCTGTGATGTTCGTGCTTTGAGGGCGCCTTTCACTGCGAAACGACCAGAGAATCGGAGGCACCGAATAGTGCCCAGAGGGTTTGATTGATGCGTATGGATTGGACTCAATTCGTAGGGCTTGGACGTATTCCGATATTCAGATGAATTAGTCTTGGATAGTGCACCAGTGCAATCATCACGTACTTGGGCGAAACGGTTAATTGTGGATATGTGCTTAGAATGCGCGATATCCTGCTGATATGGTAGGTCCATATCCGAATATTTCGGGTAATTATTGTCATCAGGGTAGGCAGGACGAACCGGAATTTGCTCAGTTAAAGGGTTCGAAACATTAGTCTGAAAGCATTTGGGTAAAACAGCATAACTGCCTTTTGGATGGAAAAGTATACAAATTGGCCAACAAACAATTGGTTGTTAACTGAACTCTTCTTCGTGGTCATCCACATCGGCAGCGACAACCTGCAGAGCAAACGTCCACGTGGAAATGATTCCGTTTGGACCAGTTGCGTTGATTTTATAGACACCATTGTCCTTGCGATGTCTCACGTCTAGTAATCTGCATATACTTGAGGATGCCGAGTCATCGAATTCGATTCGGCTTGGATCAATCAGTTTGTCATTCCGACGCCATTCCACTGAAAGTGGGAAAGATGAACCGAATTCAGCTGACCAATGGTGGTCTTGTTTGAAAACATGGAGCATTCATATGTGGAACGTTTCTATAATAATAAAGATGTTACGAGTACTCAAAACTCTCAGATGATTGTCCATCCGGAATACCTTAAGAATACCGATTATTACTCCTGATTGGTTGAATAAGTTAAGTTTATTTGGTTTGCATGTATGATGCATCGACTGTGGCGGAAAAATTAATGCTGACCGAAATTCTGATCCTGTAATAATGCAGAATACGCGACATTTCGTGCCCCAATAATTTTTCTCCCAAAACAATCTACATTCCTGAAGGCTTTACAGTTCAACTACTCGTCGCTTCACTTTTTACGATTAAAAAAGGAGTTCGCGCTTCAAGCCATCCATTACTCTATTTTCGGTCCCTCGGTATTCGTACTTCAGTATTCTTGTATTTTTCCCGCAGCATTTTTCCCCACCAAAACAACTGCGTTGTTTTTAACTCTTGCCAAAAAGTAAGGATGTACCTGTTTTCCATCCTGTACCATCCTGGCGATCCAATCTGGCGCATCTAGTGAACTGGAGGTCTTTAACGGCATCACCTTCAAAGATAGTTAATGATATGTTTTACTTTGTAGCAAAAAACAGGTGAGTTGTGTTGCAACAGAAGTTGTTCTCTTCTAATATGCTTTGTCTCTACCTCCCAGTATGGCTAACTTTTCATCCTTATAAGAAGTAGTTTACGTAACGTCATCCCCAAAAGCGGCTTACCAGGTCTGACTCAAACACCTCGACGTAAATCCATCATCCTTATTTCACGGAGGATTCTCGGATAACTTTGATTGACAATGTGCTATGCTATCGTTAAACGAGTTCCCGCCCAACGGATGATCCGCTGACATACGTCTGGTCATTGGCTCCGAATACACTATGCCCTACTAAAAGGTACACAGGCCGTTCACCCCTAGTGTGAACAGGCGGGTGTACTGCAACTGCTAACAGCTCTTTGAATACATATCTGTTCAGTTGCTTTGTTTAGCACATTCTGTGAAGGACTTATTTGACTTTCAGGCCTGCATTTCCAAACTAGTGGCTTTGAAGCACACCAAAACATGTTGATTGACGGACCCAGTTGGTTCGTATTGGTGCGCTTCACCGTTTAAAGTCACCTATCGGCTGGATACCGCATCGATAGGACGGAAAGCAAAATAAAGCCCTCAACCTTAGCAAACGTGAAGGCCATATTACGTCACCTTCTGTCGGAGTATTCTAGCTACCGCTGAAAGAAGCCCATGGTCGTTATATGCATCGATATATTAACTACCACACAAAGTTAGCAAGTAGCTACATAATGCACTGAACAGTAGCTCGCAAAAGAGCCCGAAATTAAATGACCCTCCAAAAGCAACGTTCGGGATGATACATGGTTGGCTAGCGGGCCACTTGAAATTTTATTAAAAATCCTTCTAGCAAACGCATGGGCCAAAGAGGGAAGCCCGCTAAGGCGTTTTCGTCATTTCATGCACTGAAGCGTATTTGTATTCTATGTAATTTTAGGTTTCCATTTCACTCTGCATGCTACGTCGAACAAGTTTGAATGGCTGGAATGCAGTGAACAGCTGTTTTGTCCTTAGTAAGAATCATAAGCATTGGGCAATCCATCACCCTAAGCTAAGTTGATGAATAGTTCAGGACTTGACACTTGTTCATCCTCAGCATTACACGAAAGGGAAACACAGGAGAACGTGTCATATCTGACTACGAAGCTTTCCATGATATATGAGTTGATAAAAATCATGAAAAAATGTCTCATTACCACTGGTGACGGTGTCCGGCGTGAAAGCACATTCGAGAATCGTTGAACTTCCCTCTTTGATGGTAGCGGATTGTGGAACGGACACGAATTCTGGACCAGGTAGATCTTCATTTGGAGCTGCATGATAAACCACGAAAAATAGCGAAATGTGGTGATACAAGTCAATTAAATGTCACTGGAAAAAATGATTCAAGTGTACACTCTGAGCTTGGTCACCCAGGTCTGAGCATTTTTAAATGCCGAACTGACATACGCTTATTTTGGTGAGCAAGAACTGTCGGAATATCAGTGCCTGGCAGATTATCCATATTCATATAGCCGAGTTGCGAAAATGATTAACTTCGATAGAGTTCGGTGAGCTGTCGCGCATTCTTTTTTTAGTTTGACTACAATGCACCGTTCAGTTAAGAGTAAAAAACAAGAAATAAATAGACTAATCAGTGCGAATTAACTAACCTTTCACAAGAACGTGAGCAACACTTCGGGCTTCGCCTGCTACATTCTTCGCGTAGCATTCGTAACTGCCCGCATCTCCCAAATTCACAGATGGCAGTTCAAGTCTCGAAGAGTAATTTTCTTGCACCACGCTATGTGCAGCCTGGATGGCGTTTCCATTGCAGGACCAAGTGACTTCGGGAATGGGAGCTCCGGAAAATTGGCACTCCAGGATTAATTCTGCGCCCTCTTCCAGCAACTGTCCGATAGGATGTGTGGTAAAGAGAGGAGGGGACTGCGGTCCATCCAGCAGTACTTCGTTCTTTCCTTCGACAATTTCTTCGGCGAATCCGTTTGGCAGTTCGCTCTGAGTAGGTTCCGGTTTGACTAGTTTACGTAGGTAGAGAACAACCAATGTTGAGCACGTACATGTAACAGGGGCATAACTTTCTTTTGCAAAAAACTGTCAAAGAAGTTAAGGATAACAGCACAAAAGCACACACTCACCCTGAACGCTAACTTGCGTTTGACTAGTGGAACTTCCACCTTTCGAAGTTGCCTGCACTTCATACGTCCCGGCGTGTTTTAACCCGACGTTCTCAATGGTTAGGCGACTGGTTTTATTGTCACCTGTGGTCACTATGTTGTATTCAGTGTCCGATTGTAGTTCCTATGAATGAGATAAGAAATTTCGATGATAGGTGCCCTCAGGTTTGTTCAACCAAACAGACAAGAAAATGAGAAACGTTGCTTGGCACATTTATCAACGGAAAAATAAACTACGTGTTACCGTCAGGAGATATCTGTTGAATAATCAAGCCATCAGTGAACCATGTTTGATTTAGCGAAAACTATCATCAAACCAGCCACATGCATCGCAACTTTTACCCAGCAACGTTCCTTGTAATCATGTTCTTTCCAAGTTAACTGTATTTTTCTGCACAGAATTACGAGAGGAAAACTGTTTGAAATACCATCAAATTCACTTCCGTGGTGGGCCCCCTGACACATAGAGTACTGTATTAATAGTAATAATATTATTGATAGTAACAAGTGAATTACAAAGTGACCCTCAATCCAAGCAGCGGTTTCCTTCTTTCGAAAACATTTAATTCATGCGTCACAAATTGCGGTCAGAAGCCCTTCTTTCATGTTATTTTTATTATCTCGGAAGATCCTTCAAGTTATGTAAGGGCCAGACGATATTCCAACAAAGCTAACAGAGCGCGGCAAACTCGTCCCCCTATTTGTACAGGCGAATGTGAACTGAGAGGATGCCTCATCTTTCGAATATCATTGGCTTGGCCTTCATATGGCACTGTTTATTAGGTTGCTGAAAATTCTCGGACGGCCCACTGTCGGTTTGACCCTTTTAGAGTTCATCGGTTAGACCTTGTCTCCGAATTTCCTAACTGAACATCGAAATAAACTGATGTGGAAATATACACTGATTTGCAAACTAAGATGGTGTAAACTGGAGACCCAGATGGATTTCTGGTTTGCAACGTCCTACAATACGATGTACTAAAAAAGGCAGCCTGAGGTGAGGCTGAGTCGGTTGAGTCTCCTGTTGACACCATCCTAGTTAGCGCTTATCCGCACAGAGGACCGCCTTGATGTACAAATACAAAACACGTCCAATGGAAATGCGGGATCAAAGCCTACCTAATAAGCCTTAAAACGAGCGAAAACGGTCTGAATTACTTAACAGATAGTGTGGAAAAACTACACATGAACAACCATGTAACTAAACTACGAAGTAGACTGCCAACCAAACACTCATGTTCGGACTGTAGGCCAGGGTTTCGAGTCTGTCTAGAGATTTATGGGACACACCTTTGTATCTGGGGCTGGGCAATCACTCAGCTCAAACAATAATGAAATAATTCAGGCAAAACCTAATTGTTCCTGTTCAAGTGATCAGGTTAGGACTGTTATCCATCTCGACAGAGGGTGTATTGCTTAACAATCTTGGGTTTTATCCCAGGATTTCGTTGGGAACATAAAAAATTACGTACCATTCCGTTATGCAGCCATCGAATACTCGTTTGCCGGTTCGTTTCACTGAATTCCACACTCAATACCAGTCGTTCTCCTTGGACTAACTGGGGAGGAGGTACAAGGGGTTGCTGAACCTTTGGAGCAGGGATAGTGGGAGACGGAGGAACTTCATTGCTAATGGTGGAGTCACGTCTTTCCACGATTCTACTCATCGTCCGGGCCTCGCTCACCTCCCATCCATCACGCAATTCGCGTGTTTCCGACGTGTGTCTTTCGGTCAGTCGGGTTAAAGAACCCTGAATTCGTCTAGATCGTCCAGCCTCAGAATTCATGGTGCGATAGTCTGAGCCCATTGGCTGTTGGCTGCTGGATCGGAGGCCTCTTTCACCAGCTCTAGCATTCAGGAACCGTCGGACGCGGCTCTCTAAAAAAATACCGATTCAGACCATAGTTCAGTATAGACGGATTCCAAAAGGATTTTGTTTATCTTACTAGTATCATGATGTGCCTACATGTACGCACTGGAAACTAATTAGGTTATATTTTGAGCGGGTGTGCATAGAAATGCATTCAAACAAGTGCATTAATCAGCCGACATTTCTCATCATCATTAAGGTGAAAATGGCAACGGTACAAAAACTTTTCGAACTTCCGAAAGCTGTTTTTATTCGCACCGCCTGTGCCGCTGTGCCGCACACATCACCAAAGCACTACTTAATGCAAATGTGTCAACCCATCTACTTGAATTGCGAACATTTCGGGTCATCGCACCAAAATAAGTTTTCACAAGGTCAGCTCTGGTCCATTACTACGCCGATTGGAATAGAGGTCAAGACCTGTGTTGGATTAATATTAGGACAAACAAGATGCGTGCATACGAAACCGGACCACATATCCGTCCTGACTTGACTCAACCCGAGTGGAGGCCAGATTCTCATGTGCATCTTTCTTTCTTTTGAAAATCGAGGCGACTGGTAGAAATTCATGAAGCAACTGAAGGAAACAGGGTCGGCAGTAAAAGGTTAGTAAATACATTGTAAGTTGCCTACCATTCCCCTTGTCAATGCGTGAATTCTGAAGTGGTTTGATTCAGAGGCATATGGAAACTTGATATTCGAGTCAATAGGGAACTACTCATAACCACCTTGAATAGAATCGAGAATTACATGCCATGAAACAGTCTAATGTGGTTGCCAAATCCCTGAAATCGGGTTAAAGGGACCGGCTCGTGATCCACAGACTAGATGTGTGGTGAAGCATCCGTAGATTTATGTTTAAGCCAAAGGTTGATGTTTCACACATCTCAACTGCTGGTTTATCCATCCCCTAAGTGCAAGGTCACATGCTTGTGTCCCACTCCCGGTACCAAGTGTTTCGCTTGTGAGAACTTGTCAATTCCTCTTTTTCAAATCCACTTATACGAATTGATAAGGCTATGTGACAGCCTGCTTGAAGTAATGTAGGATATGGACAGAGATAACAGATGACAACGATTCGCTTACGTTGCAAGAGCGGTGAATATTTTGTCCGTACTCATGCTGTATTTATCCCGTGAGAACAGTCTCCACAAAGCCGATTACTTTCAGACGATTCCTGATGCCAGTGCATGGAGCAAGAACCCATTGCTTAGTGTATCAAACCCCAGCGCTTGTTGTGCTGTCGACATCAAGTAAAGGCAGTCCACAGTTTGGCTTTTGGTGTCTGGGTTAAATAACCCCAAGAATTTGAGTTCCCAACATGACGGTGTGTCTGTGTGAGCGCAGACATTTTTGGTCAATATCCGTACCAAATATAATCCCATACCACATCGGTTCACGGCATTCACCTTATCCGTGCGTTGATAATTTCCACCTTGCTATCCAACATTGAAATCTGGTTTTCCTTCTGACATTTTTCGGGGTGCTACTTGGTTCATTTGCATATTTTCTTCTATAATCAGTACCAGTAGGCGCAGTGAACTGCCAGGGACTCCGGTGCTTGTATTGTAGTCTACTGAAAGCATATGGGATCTCAGTAGATCCGGAAGGTGTTCGGAGGAGGGAGAAAATCAGTCGCTACTTGAATAAACCGAGGAGCGAGATGATTCTATCCATGTCGACATAGTTACGGTTGATTTAAGCCGAGTTATTTGGCGGTCTTCGTTAAAGCAATGGTAGCAGCCTCTATAAATGATGAAGCCTTTGTGATTGACAAAGGATGTGATTCGCTAATTGTCTGAACAATAACAACAGCAAGGGCTATTTGTTCGGCGGCAGAATGAATCACAATCGAGGTGAACGAGGTGGAGAGCCGGGCAGTTTTAAAACCGCTCATCTATCGATCCCCTACCGTGCCATCAGCTGCTGCCTTCAAAACCGCAAGCATGGACGTAGCCAAGGCTACTAAGAATAGTTTATTAGGCAAACCAATCAGCATAAGAGAATGGATCTCAGAGTTCCGAACACGGAAGTACTAATCTACCTTGAGAAGCGTGAAAATGTAAAGTGATTGGTTTTCGAAGACTTTTTCTCAGAGTTCCAACTGAACACGAGTTACAATGTTGAGTGTATTAAACGGCGTAGTTTTCGAGCTTAACCAAAAGTGTCGAGCGTATGTGATCCGAAACCCACAGTTTCAGTCATGGGACGGCAGTAGATCTATTGGTTATTTCGGTGGTCACTGGTCCAATACAGTATGGTGAATCTCAACCGAGGCAATACAAGTCATTCAGGACCAATTGCTGTGGATGGGTGAAACTAACCCAAGAACATACGTGACCGTGAGTTCGTTATGTTATTTTGGAACTGATGAAATGCATAATGAATCAAGGTGCTGAACTATCCGTTGATAATCTGCAATAATAATTTGGTTTGTAGTAGACACCAACAGCGTCAAAGCCGAGCTCAGCTGTGTTATAAACGACGAACAATTTTCGATTCACCCGTAACGAAGATTGCATTGAGTTTAGCCTGCTAATTCATACCTATTTACGCATCTTCGATTTTTAACAACCACGTTGTTTTTTGCACTAAAAGCTGTGCGTAAACAGATATCTACACCAGCAGCGAGTTAGTCAGAAAGAGGACGCCAAACAGCGTCGTTGCAGTTAGCACATCATTGATCGATCACGCACCGCCCTCTGGAGGAGCGTAGGCTGCGTGTCGCTGGTTATCTCAACACCAACACCGACAGCACGCTTGAACAAATTTAGTATATCACGCAGCCAAATGAAGGCCGAAGTGAGAACGACCTACCGCGCTTCGGTTATTACCGCGCCTGATGGCATGCTCTAAGTTCGGCAAAACTATGCGGATTATAAAACCGTAGATTTATCGACAGTAAGAGTGTAGCGTTCCAAATCCGGCAGCTTTTCAGGTTGGTCACAGAAATGTTATCGGGCCGCCCGCGAACATGTTACTACAGAATTGTCGATAAAATTAGATTCTGTAAAGCAGACGTAGATGCAGTTGACCGAAATGCACGAGTTGGCTTTCTGCACAACACAACAGTCAACACGGAAATGAAGTTTGTTCTTCAGATAATCTTTTTCTGACTGCAGGTCCAAAGGTTTCTATTCATATTCAATGAAACGGTATCCTCACGCGAAACCAAACGATCGCGTTTTGAAAAACGTGGAAGGAACTTGATGAACTCGAGGATTATCGCCATCAGTCCTCAGATTGTTTGGCTGAAATTCGCGAATGATAGAATGTTCATCTGAAAACTGGAGGTTCGATCCTTCACGGACATCTTGAAATCTAGTTAAGGCTTCCTGCGCGCCCGTCCTTGTATCAGCTGAGAAAGGAAAGATAATCTATTGTTCAAAAACAGCGGCGTTATCGTATTGCGCCTGGTTTGTGCTCGTTTGCTACGTTGAGATTAAAAACGACTTTTTAAAGCATTAAGTAACATATGGGTTGGCATAAACAGGGTTCAAAGCACACAGCCAAGGAATCACTCACGTTCAACAATCAGTTTGCAGTTCGTCTCATCTTCACCCTGACTGTTTTTGGCAACACAAGTATATCGACCACTGTCGTCTTCGGTACAGGAGTAGAGCTCCAACGAACTGATGCCCAACATGGTCTCGATTTCGTAGTTTCCGCCGCCTCTGTGTAATTCATATCCATCCTGTAAATAATAATAAGGGAAAGCCAGGTTGACTTTCTTTGCCCGATTTCGAAATCCAGAGTGCGTTCTTCAAGGAATATACGTTATCACCAACTACGTCCCGAACAACAGAGGACAAATCATAGCGGCACAATGAATGAATTCACCGAATCGCATGTTGCCTGTGTAACTTGAGTTTGTTCCAGAGATGCCCCAATTTATTTACACTGAGTTGTCAGTTCCGTAGCAAAACCATAGTTTTATCTGTCGTTGGATAAGTTCAGCGCATCTCCCATCCGCGGGATCGGAAGCAATATCTCCCGAGATTCTGAGACCGACTTTTGTTTGTACCACTTATCCGTCTCTGCTCCGCAAAAATCCAGGGAAGCTTGCTTGAGGAGAGTGACGTGTGTGCTAACCAGGCCAGGCGGGTACTCCTAAGCCAAAGGACATCTTCGTATTTTTCGACAGGCGAAACTCCTTTCTGAGACAAGAAGTTCTACGTTCACAGTCATATACCCCCGGCTCAAATTTACGTGCATGAGCCAACCCACAGAAGGTGAGCATTGCACTGGCTCATTTTGAATTTTAAGTAGAATCTCATTTGAGTCCTTCGTAAACGGACCACGAAACGCTTGCTCAAACCACCTTCTGGACTGTAATGGGTGCGTGCTGTACTGCCTAGGTTGAGAAAATCAATAATCACATAATATATGTACCCAATGCAAAAGTATGGTTTCTGAATCCATTGTTTGGTGGATAGTGTGCATTACTGTGCCACTGGAAATCCGGTACAACAGGAATAATCAGGCTAGTACGAAAAACATTGTGTGCTTTCACACTTTCTCTTGGACAGCCGATTTCTCCTTTACTGCTTCAATAAATTCATATTTGATCGATTGTAACTTAATCAGAATTGTCCGAAATGAAACAGATTATGTTTATCCATTCGGTACATGACTGTCCTCAATTACTTCTTCCTCTGTATATTAGGCGAATGAGTTCTGGAAGCTTGAACGTAGATGCGAATGGCGTAATTCTGTGAAAGAAATGAAACCAACATGGGTGCTGAACGGACAGTCCTTTCTTGACGCAACTCTGCTCATAAGGTCACGAACATTCACCTAATTTATTAGGCATTTTCCCCACTTATTCAATCGGTCTTTTGATAAGCGTAATGTAGGCCAGTAGGGATCTGGTCGCTGCCAACTATATGTGTTAACAGCTCATCTTGTTCCGCGTGGTCCCTCATCAATCACAAGGATAATCTTATTACATTTTTCCGTGTCCCTATAGCATAGCCGCAAATCCTGCAGAACAATGCGGAAGAAAAATGATGTGACCCACTTTTATGATCCCTCGCGCGTGCACGATTTTGCTTTCAATTAGTCACCGAATATTTTAACGACCAACAAATCTCTGAGAGTACTGTGTGGAAATTTTATAGATCTCCAATCCCCTTAGAGAGAAGTTCGAGCGACAGAAATCAAAAAGAGATTCATCTCGAAATGAAGGTAATCATACTGAGCGTCGAAAGTCATTAAAATCTGAACCACGCTCATTCGGCGTGGCATAAAAGGATATCCATCCTTGAGAGTCTCTTGCAAAAGAATTATCTTGTAAGGATTTCTCTTTAGTTTATGCATATTCAATCTAAGGAGTTAACTTTCTAAAGATTTCCTGCTAAGGGGCGTCATTATTAGTTGTATTCTATTTTAAATGGAGAACTGTTACTTAGTGCTTGCAGTTCAATCTAATTACCAGCGTGAATTCTTATTACTTTGTCGTTTTTTGCAAGTGCGTCTATCACATAGATCAGGCACCTCCAATTCTACTAAGCAAACCAGGATTACCAGAGCTTTATGCGCAACTCTACGACCAACAAAGAATAAAAGTTGGTGCTGAGCTGTGTGTGTGTGCATCAACTGGATATGTTAGTGGGATTCCCAAATATGTTTTTGGTGAAGTATTCTCAATTACAAGTGACTCAAACTAGACTGAGTTATGCAAAAAAAATGATCGTTTCGCCAGGTGAAAAAAATAGTAGACAACCATCGGTGAATGAATATTACCTTGAACCAGGTCATTTGCGGTGTTGGATTTCCGTCTGCTGTGCAAGTGAGTTTGACACTCGAGCCCTCTTGAATGTAGCGATTTCGTAGATGGAATGCAAACCTTGGTCGGGTCAACTCTTCCTGGAACATTTCAATTGGCTGCAGCTCAATTCTCTTTCGTTTTGGTGGTTGGGAGGTCTCTGCATTGGATAAATAAAAAAAAAAAAGTTCTCATAGTCGATAAGCGAGTAGATATATATAGAAAGTCTTATACTCCCAGGCGATTCAGTAAACAAAGTCAATTTCGGAGCAGATTCGGTTGTGATCCACCATGTTGATTCAACCACACCTTTTGACTCACCCCGTTTGATCTCTTGAATTGGTTGTACGGTTAACATAACCGGATATTCTCTTCGACCAAAACTGTTCTCCGCGCGAACCGTGTAGTGCCCGGTATCTTCGGGGCGAACTCGGTTGATTTTGAGCGAATAGTCGTGACCTGCATAGCGCTGCATGTGCTTCACACTTTGTGTCAGCTGTACTTCATTGAAGTGCCTGCAGCAGAAATATGATGCAGTATGAACAGTTGCCCATGATATACAGAAATTATGGTAACTAGGCAGTCAATCAGACTGCCATGCTGGTTTATGACTTTTTCAGAGTGATGATGAAAATTACTCATTGGATTCCCCATATGAGATCCTAAATCAAAGTGCTGGTTATAAGCGATAATTTTGGGTTTTCGCCTGTTCAGTTGCTCCGATCAACACATCTCCAGCCTTCACAAAACTGTTCCATGAGCTACCCAAGCAATATGCGTGAATTACTGGAGCTGCCACACCGTTCACTAATTGTGGTAGTGGGTAATATTGGGTTTGCGACAGCAGATTTTTCTGGGTCATCATGGTAAACAGGAAGGCTGTTGTGTTCATCTCCACCGGTTCACGTTGAACCGCGTCTCACACATGAGACTGTGAACATAAAATCGACTCATCCATGGACGGTAAAAGATATCAGTCGGAACTCCGCTGAATCATCATGAATATCATCCACTGATGCCTATCCGCCGATGAGTGATGATTATTGAAGTAATGCTTAGCAAGTCCCCATCTTTTGCGAAAGTACAGATGTCAAGAAGCAGCAAAATCTTTAAGACTTTCTTTGCGTTGATACTGTCACCTAGCAAGTACTCTCGCATTCCCACGAAAGTGGTCAGAACTCTTTTTTCAATTATCAGTGAGAAAAACCGAAAACGCGCCAATATAGCACCCATCGCATAAAGAAATAGTCTCAGGAAAGAGAGATGCTAAAGTGTCTTATTATCTTCTTTGGAAAAGGAGCTAAGATGGACTGTCCACTGCACCAAATACAGATGCTTCCAACATCTCTTCCCAGACCATCATGGAAATTTACACTCTGATGAATAGCAACGCTTTGTTCACACCTGTGCGTCCGTAGTCGTATTTCGATCTTCCTGTATCTTGATCATCAAATCCTGCTTTCTTTGCCAGGTAGAAACAGCAACCCTTGTCCTACTCACGGAGACTCAAATGAAAGAAACAGCAGTTCAGCTTTGGAGCTTCGTGTTGATTTGTAACCACTATTAGTTCAATAGGTGCTGAGTTATCATGTGTTTCTCTACTCTATTTTTCATACCAATCAACCGCAATGCATACGGAAACTGTGTGCCTCACGTGTATCCTGGGATAGGCCACCAATCACAAAAAGTTAAGTATGGAAAGGCTGCTAGACGTCCCCAGATAAGATAGCAGTCGTATTAAACCTAGCATTAGTTGATAAAGCCAGCAAGTGATGAAATCAAGTAAGCGACAAATGGTACATTCACACCACCGTTTACGCTTGGTCAATGAATCAAACTAAATAGGAAGAATGCGTGTGTCCTTTGTGATGATCTACACCTTTTTTCCTTGAGTTTGGATGAAATGGAAAAAGATACGTACTAATCACCTATATCTTGGAGGAGAGAAATCTTGGAGGAGTACGGGCGAAATCTACTGTGTACTCACCAGGTCACTGTAGGTTCAGAAAGCGCCAAAACACGGCAGTCAAATTGAGCATTTTGTCCCTCAACCACCAATTGGTTCTGCGGCCACTTAACGAAACGTGGTCCTGCTTCCTTTCGGTCTGAATGAAAAACCGTAAAACCAGGTTTGTCACGTTAGTTTCATTTCGCATCATGGCCAGTAACATCACAGAACAGCCTCTGATGGAACTCATGATCAGTTCAACTTCAGAAAGAGTGATAACCAAACAGGCACAACGGAGGAAAAGGATAGTGACTGTGGAATACTGTTTCACGTTTCCTACCAAGCACCCAAAAAGGATTGAGTTCGCGTGCGCACTCAGGAAAAGGAGCAAGTATGGAGCAAGTATATATTGCCCACCATGCAATACCCTGGAATACTCCCAAAGAGACCTGATCCTCCTAAGATTTCTGACAATGCCTCACACCAATATTTTGACCAGTGATGGACACTACAACTGAGTCAGCGAGCTTTCAGGGTTGTCAAAACCTGCGTATGAGTCCACTCCAGGGCAGTCGAAAAGGATCCAGTAACAATATGCCCTGCTGGCCACCCACCCCTAGACGAATGATATAGTGGTCAGCTGTTAAGCTGAAGATCCCAGGCTGTAATCTCCAGTGGCCGATGAATGTCCACTGCTGGTCATTGCCAACAAAAGTAGAAAAGCTTTTCGGCTCCTCAGTATAGACTGACCGCTATTGCGGGATATAATCCAAGGTGGAATCCCATTGTTCTTTGAGACTTCGTGATTCAGTCCGTTCCTGACAGTCACAAACAGTACACACTAAAGCTCAACACATTCTGCTGGTAAGGACAATAACATGCACATTTATCTGAATGCATATAATTGAACTGATCTCTCATAAAGCATCTATAGAGCTTAGTTCCATGTAAATAGAAGACCTTAGGAGTCTATTCCCTTCTTTTCTGAGACTCTTGATGAGTCTGTCAACTGTACTATCACTCAGCTGAGCACAACAATACATCTAGTTAGGCAACGTACATCTTGGCCAAGTATGCTCTAGTACCTGTCAGCATCAGCATCGGTCTTTCTTACAGAGTTTGTAAATGGACAAGGAATGGGGAGCAACGGCCAGTCAGACGCAAACGAAGTCGAGGGAAGGTCTACCCGGAACCATTTAGACCATTATGTACTGCAGAGTTCAACTTGGTCCATTTTCCGCATCAAACTCTCTGTTTCGGGTCAGGATAGAGCATCAAGAGTGACCTACCATCCACATTACCTCCCGCAGTCAGACTGAATGCCGACAAACTCCTTTCCCTAACAATTTGCCCCAATGCCTTGTTCCAAATCATTTTAGTTTTCCTCATAGTCACTGCATTTTAAGGGACGCCGAAATAACAAGTCTGTTATTGAAAGGAAACCTTAGTGGCCTGAGGTTATATAGATAATTAGTGTTCTGTTCGCTGAGCCAAACAATTTGGTTCCAAATTTTTCGTCACCAATCGATGTGACGTACCAGATTAGCGTTGTGTCGTTGTGAATGTCTTATCAAGCTCATTAAAAATAACACCATCCATATCAAGGGTATAAGATAATCCATATACATCTTTCTCCGACAAATTGTTTGGATACGACTTGTGGAAATATAATCTAACACTTATGATGTTTACATTATGGGATTTAGTTGATCCTCAAGTAACTGACCAAATATTGCTTTGTCCGGGATGCAGATACCGTGTTTCCGGGGTGGCCACTACTTATTTAACTGAGTGTAAACAAGGAATATGCCAAAAACTGCCCATCAGACTCACCGAAATTTGTCTCATGTATCTTGTACTTGTCCCGCTTGTTCTGTCGTAAAGACGAATAATTGGCAATATGTCCTATCGCTGGATTTCGTTGCCAGATTTCTCCCTAAAAGTGGGTCAACAGCACCAAATGGATAGAGCGAATAAAACCGCTTTTCTCGTTTTACCAAAGTACAGTTTACCAAGCCTGCGTATGAACAATTGGCAACGGCCAAGGTTCCTTTTCACACATCGATTACGCTGCTGCAAAGTAGTACTTACTGACCAAGCACAATCAGAGCTACAAAACGCGGAGCATCTCATAACTTGAATAGACAAACCCTATACATGACAAAACTTTTTGTTTGAGTAAGTATTATCGCTTAACTATTGGCGGTGTCATGATGGTGGTGTTGATGACGAGGATAAGAATGATTATAAGTCTCCAAGAAGGTTGGGAAAGTTATACCGACAGGAATTTCTCCATGCAGGCTTACAACGTGCGTCCATCAGATACTTTTTGTGAAAAGTGTTTTTGCTCATTAACAGAGGAAACCGCCAAAGCGGTTCACCTGACCGTTCACATGGAAACGGGTTGCACCTCCTACGGAAAAATGAGGAGGAATATCTAGTTGACTGATTTAGCTGACTACCTCACAAATTAACTTCTGCGAACTCCAGAACGCACAACTTTAACTTCCTGTCATCGGTCCTCCTAGCTCAGGTTGCGGTGCGCCCTCTATTCGTGCTGCTTGACTTCTCATTTGTAGGTCATTAGGTAGCCAGGTGCATGTTGGATATGTTCTAAGGCCTCGTCGAGCGTGAAAACTGTATCAATTGATGCTCCAAGCAAGACCCAATATCTAGGTCGGATATCTGGTTACTCCCCGTAGTTCTGTCGTTTACTTGAGTCGCTGAACCTTCGGTGTCTTTGTGCTATCCTTCCACGGTTTTGTCTTTTCTAATTTTCCTTCGGTACCACTGTTTCGTGGACCCACTATTATCGGCAAATATTTGTGTACTGCCTGCGATGACTGCCGACCACTTTCAGCAAGCAGTCGTACATGTTCACGGTGAGGAGATCTTCACGGCTATCGGACTCAATAATGCAACTCGCAACAATTTGTTCCGGTACTCAACTACGGTACGACCTTATATGGTAAGGTGGCATGTACTGTAACTTAGGTTAGGACGATTGACTGAACAGTGTGACGGACGAGTTTCCATCCAAAACCCCGTTCAGCTGTAGCACCCTTTCGGTGCCTAGCTGCCATGCCACCAAAGGAAGCACGAGGGTTGGAATACTGCCAGTTTACCGAAGCCTAGACAGGGCAAGCCGAGAGGCAGAGGTCGGGTTCGAACCACGAAACTTGCGGTCAATATGCTTCAGGTATGCTTCAAGGTTTCTTAAGGGGTCGGCGCAGTGATCGAAGGAAGTAACCAACCACAGATTCGCATAGAAAATGTAAGCCATTTACATGTGTATACAAATGGCGAACAGATTTTCCACATTTTTCTGGTGAACAGGTAAGTTGGCGTTGTACGTAAAGTGATACAGAATAATCAAACAAAGCAAGGTTAAGTCATGCGAAACGATGCGGTCTAAACTGTTGGTTGAGACTGCTGAACCGGGGTCGAGTTCGAATCCCAGTTACTTCACTGGCATTTTTTGAAATGCCAGTTCCCCAATCAACGCAATTTATCAACTGTTTAACTAAGTGAAACATGAGAGGACCGCAGCCACGATACCAGAAACGCGAGAAGCCTTGACATTATCTGACCATTTTCGTGAATGCTCACCTTCCTCTTTCCATAAAATGAAAAAATACTTTAGATATGCATTTGCTTGTTTGTCGGCGATCATAATGTACGAATAAAACTGCAGTTTCCCACATCATAAAAACCGTGTACCGATATGACTCACCATTCGGTCGTGCATACTCTGCTGACATTGCTTGTACCGGGATGGAGGAATGCGCTTGCGCTGATCATCACTGAGCACGCTGTTCAACCATGGGTGTTCCAAAGCCTCGTACACTGTCATCCGTTGACTGAAAAATAGGAGAAATGTGTTATAACGAATGACTCTACATTATGCACTTGCGCCCCCTCCCCCAAAAAGATGGAAAGAGAAAGGCCAGTTTGTTCTTATCCATGAAACCTGTAGTGATAAGCACCTAGGGAATCCCACTTAATGATAAGCCCAAACCTGACATCAAAGCCTAAAAGTATGAGTCCAAGGCATAAGTTATACTGTTAAACAAATGGATCCCGTTATTAGTTCAACCAAAGACGTACCTCGGTTGTTTTTGCAGAAGCTTACTAATAAAGTCTTTCGCACCGTCTGAGATTCCACGGAAGTTCTCATGGTCAAACGTATACCGACCTTGTACCACGCGTTCAAGCGTCTCTTCGGTACTGGATCCCGAAAACGGTGACAAGCCACTTAGTCTGGGAATACGAAAATTAAACAGATAAACAAATGAGAACTATTTATGGATGATAACAGAATAGTTGTTAGAAAAGATCGGAAAATTCGTATGCGAGAAAAACGAGTCAAGGGATGCGCTGTTGTCGGCAAGAGGCTAAATGAAGTCTTTGTAACTAAACAAGATCGAATGTGATTAGAAAAATCAGGGGAAAGTCAAACAGAGTTAGGTGGAGTACATCGATAAAACAGATATAAATGAAGAGCAGTGTTTTTGAAAATAGGGTTTTTGTATTTCAACCACGCAGTCCAATTGCTCAATATTGGTCAGCTTTTTCAACTGATTTTACTCCTAATTTTATTAATCTATTCAAAGTTAAAATTACTCTATACATATACATATACATATATATATATATATATGTATATATAACATGTAGGGAATGCATCCTCAAATAGCGCAACAGGGTAAACATAACTGGGCGAATTTTCCCTGACGAGCACACTGTCAGCATACAGAACACGTACGCGACAGGGTCCGTAAGAGAAGTTTGTGCCCTTGCCGGAACTGTGTGGGATTCAACAGGACTGGAGTCAGTCCAATCTGACATTATGAATTCCCTAGATGTTGGATGTTAATAAGATAGTGAGACTAATAGACCAGAACAATTCATTAACGCCGTCAAATGGTTGATTAACTGGCTCACTGGCTGACTCAATGAGGGCTACAATACGTGCAAGGGGTAACGAGTAACGGAAGCATAGTTGCCGAGCCATAACTCGTGGGTCAGCTATGTTCGGAATCCAGTATGGGATGTGAACATAAGACTGTCATTTACCAAATGATGACAGACTATCAAACACACTCGCACGTATTGCTCCGTGGAACTTCGTGCCAGACAATTCGGCTGACAGAGAGGATGGTCAATATCAGTTCAGCAACTTCAAAAGACAGTCACACCCCAACGCGCTAAAAATTTTCCATTTGTTTCTTTTATCTAAAATGCCGAATCAAGTTCACTTGCCTGAGCTCGATAGTCTCAAGGATTTTACTTCTCGCGCTGCAAACCGTAGGCACAACATTCGTGACTGACGGATGATGGGTGATTAAGGCATCGGAGCAAGCAACTGTTTTTGTTCCTTAACCGTAACTACATGTATGTCCACTATTTGTTTACTCAGTCAATAATCAACACAGTTTTGCCGAACCTATAGTAACGAAGCAGCTATCTCACCGATCTAGTCTCATCCACGAACCTCCTAGTTACCGATTGTGGTAGCATTTCTGAAAACAACTCCTATCTGCTTGTTAACATCTATATGCTGCGGGGGAACTACTTGTGAGTAGCCGCGGAATCCGTAGAACTTGTGTGCCTAAATGTGACGGTGAACAAACCTACTTGAAAGATAACTTGGTAGGACCTGGGTTTTACCTCCATGTGCAATCATCCATAGAGAGTTCTAAAGTATTTCGTCCTTGAGGTTTAACGAACACCATAATCGTTATCGCGACATATCCGGAATCGTGTAAAATATTCAAGCGGAACAGCCGTACAAGCTTCATTAGATCGTGAAGTGGTACCCTGCGTTTTTGAGAACCTGAACCTTACTTTTACACCCTAAATTTCGGGTTACTGGAGGAAAACCTGTGTTGTTTCAATCAATTTAAGGGATATGTCCAGAAGAGTGAGTGAAAATACTCTAACTTGACGAATTAGTTCACCAAGATCTGTGTGATAGCCCGAAGGGCCGTTTGCCTAAGGCATTCTGAAACATCACATTTACTGTTCGGCTTACCGACTGTTGGTTCTGTCTGACTAAATGGATGTATATGAAGCGACCGGCTGATTGGTCGACGGATAGGTTGGTTGATTGGTCGACTGGTTAATTCATTTATTTATTCATTGCAAGGGTAACATTCGCACGTCATGTAGTATTACCCGGCAGCATCTCACATGCTAAAAGGAGCAAAATACCAAAAATTTGCACAATCATTTCGGATGTTGGTAGGAGCACCGATTAACAATGTACTACATTTCATAGTTCGCTGATCAAACTTATACTATAGTGTACTTACAGTACGTATGTCAGTACACCGATAGCCCACATGTCCGTATAAAATCCAACTGGTTCATAACGAGCGATCTCCGGAGCGGCAAACTCTGGAGTTGCAGTTGTCACACGAACCGGTTCGTTGGGGTTGAGCTTTTTGGATAACCCAAAATCAACCAGTTTGATGTTCGTAGATTTGCTCGTTTCGCAAATGATATCTTCCGGCTGTGGAAAGAGGTGATATTGAAACCTTTGAAATACTATGATCAGTGGTCTCACCATAGTGTGGATCACAATGTTACGGGAAAAAATGTTAGCAGCAGAGAAAACTGCGAACACATGGAGAGCACATTGACGGTATCAGAAGCAAGAGGATTGGGGTCGATCTTGGTTCGACCTGTGTTCAAAATATAGAACCCCTCTGAGGCTCGATCGGACTGTCTCAACACCTTCTTCCGGTAGTTTGTTTGAAGCTGACGCTCACGCATACGACCAGATTGCGTTCCATCCTGAATGCTTTTCATGGCTTTGATAATTCCTACCAATAGCTAATGCCACATCAAGGTTTTATCCAGCCAAGCCGATCTGGAATAGTGGTCTTTCGGTATTCGTTAGCTTCATCTTGACTGGGATGACCCACTAATGGAAAGTTGACAAACCTGCACTACATAAACTTAAAATAGGTGTTTCAAGAGTACGCCAAAGCGACGATGAATCTTTCTTACAACAGGATATTCATTTGGAAGTTTTGATCTACAATGCACCAAAGTCGCACGACTGCAGTGCACTAATCCCCAAAAGACATTCTGAAAAGACAACGCTTTCTCGCACGTTTCATATTGGCGTTCTAAGATAACAACGTTCTAGTGTGCGATCGTCGTGATGACAAATGGTCCCATGAGAGGCCTAAAATCTCCTTGGGATAACTGTGATCATTGAAGTGGCCAAGTCTACTGCCACTAGGCTGTCAGAGGAATTATCATGGGCTTCGTCACACACATTATCACATTATGTAGCTACGAATATGGACAATTTCAACCCAGTATAATGGTATCGCCTGAATCACTAGTATGGTCGTCAGCGCGCGCCTCAAAGGTGGGGTAACCGGGTCGATAGGCGTATCTAGAAATCGTCTGAAAGGACATTGTATCTCAGATCTATCAAGACACGTTTTAAAAAACTGTCACCCATAACAAGTGATTGAACTCACCTTGACATCCAAATGGATGATATTGTTATCATGCATGTGTTGGATCCCTTCACAGACTTGTCGAATATAATTTGCAACTTCGGCTTCACTCATTTGGTTGCGATCATCAGCGATTCGGTCAAACAGTTCACCACCGGATAAACTGAACAGGCACGTGAGAGCAAGTAAATATAAGCTATCATACACGATGAAAATGCTCATTCTCTAACTGCCTGCAGACAAAAGCTAGTGTATCCTTCTCGCAGCTGCATGATGATCCAAATCGTCGTTAACTTTACAGACCATTGGGGTTTCAGTCTGGAAATGAGTATGTCTTGTTCCAAGGGGATTGGTATGTCTTGTTGCCCCCCTACCAAGTGCTGTAGCAGTCCTAACCACAACACGTCTTACAAACGCCTGTTATTATGGACGTTCCTCAACAGAGGGTGGAACGGGCATCCACTACTCTACTGAGGCTAATTCGGTGAAGCAAATTGCGAATTTTTAACGTGTATTCGCCAAAATGGCGTCCGAAAGTAACGGTTGCGAATGGATTGCTTATGGTCCACAGGCGAACCAAGTCAGACCGACACACTATAGGTGCTTCCTTGTGAACTTGGATTCGAGGACTAAGAGCTGTTGTATATCAGAACTACTGTAGTCTATTTTAGCACCGACACATCGCTCTTTAACGGTAACATAACCGAGGTATATTTCACTCAATCCCCACCAAACTACCTGCTTCCGGATTCATTAAAAATTAAATAATAGGGGAAAATAATGGGCTCAAACCAGCGAATCGGTACTACGAAGATCGGTTTCTCTGTTCAAATGACAGATTGCAAAAATAAGAGAAGTAATTGGCCTATGCTGAAAAACACTAAGGCTAGCGGTGTGTCTTGATATTTCATCGGGTAGAACTAAGTTACGGTGGCTATCTATCTAACGTGGGTTGCTCTTCGAGTTAGCTGAACTCATAACGATGTAAGTTAACCATGTGAAACTCTTACGCACGTTATAAACTGTGAAATCCCAAGAACTGTCCGGACTCGAAGCCCCCACTGACATTGTCCAAGTAGAACAAAATGTTGCATACCCATTCAGCGAGGTCGTGGAAATGTATCCAAAAATGAGTAGTGTATGGATGGGACTTATTTGGGGTGACAATATCAGGGAGCAATATGGTTCCAACGATATCAGTAGCTCATCAAACACTGAAGGCACAGATCATTGGGCATCTTCACAATATGCCGCAATGGTTCCAAATACAGCCTCGACATTGGTTGTCTATTTCCGCTCTAGTCAAGGGAGTTTTAATTTTAATGCATCTAATTATTGCAGATACATCCTACGGTGTGACTGTGTTCGGATGTTGTGAGGACATGATACAAAAACACACGATCTGTTCGAAAATATGGGCCCTTCCGTTATACAGTTGACGATAAACCACTTCCATTCAGCTTTTATGACTTTCTATAAAAACGTTCTCCAAATTTATTTGCCAGAAAGATGGTACCAAACTTCTTCAAGCTGTAAGACAAAATCCGTTGTTTTGGAATGAAGGCCACTGGAACTCTGAGTTTTGTGAGATGCGGACTGTTTATGATTCCCAATAAGAATGAAACAGCTGTACAGCACTTCCGGCTTTTCAACATAAACTGGCTTCACTGAAAGGACGCTATCTCAATTGAGAATTACCAAATCTCCTCACATCCACCATCAGATCTTGTCGTTTTTAAAATGTCTATGTTACGACGCCAAATTCGCATTACTTTCTCGCCCTATCATCGTTTTTGGTGAAGGTTATCGTCGAATTCCCATGAACTCATTGCTCTGTGTGGTGATTTGGACAAGCAATCTTGTGTTTTAGCGCACTTCGACCGAGTCGTTGCAGTAAACGTTAGCAGGTTTGTCAGCGATTATAAATTCAAGCTGATGCATTCACTGAGTTATTGCCGTGCAGCTTAAATTCGTGATATGATTGAAAGTAATTGAGTAGTTCGGAATTTCACGCGGTATGACTCAGGGGAGAGGTTGACATGATCGGTATGCCATTGGAGCAAAACCACTGGATTGATTGAAACTAAATCTGGGTGACACACACTAGGTACTCTAGGGAAAACAGTCTTATTTGAACAGGCTAGCATCTCATCCAAGGCGGCAGATGTCAAAATGAAAAATCTGAAAATGGCCACAAACACACCATACTGCCGAAGTGTTAAGTCAAACCAGGATATCGACCAAACCAAATACATAGATTAAAGGGCAAATATTTCACCCTTAGACTGACGATCCGGGTTTGCTATAAGATATAGTGTAATTGAGGTCTTCCTTTTCTAAACCCATCAATTACTCAACGTTTACAGCATACGGTTCATCGTGACACCACATAGAGTGGGAAATGCCTTCAGTTCATTAGGGTCTCAAAACAGAGTTCAAAACAAATTAATCGTCTTTCACAACATCCCTTCGGGCCAGCACCACAACCAGAGTCCAGAACAACTAAACGCCAGTGATTATAAGCACTAAACTACGGATACCCTGCAGCTTAATTAAGCCTAATTTTCACAACACAAAGTACTATGTTTCACCGTAGGAATCAGATGATCCTACATCGTGCGTCAATTACCAGTCCACTTGCAGTAAAATCTTTATTGGTGGAGCTGATCGACATCTGTCTCCAGGAACTTGTGGGAAGATTTCTATTCAAACTGCGTCAGATCTCACAACATTACGGTTTATTAGCACAAACAATTACGCTGAGCCACAGATCACCAATCGCTCAACATATCTTCAACATAGTCTTCGAAAAAAGTTTGGTGACAATCGGTGGATTTATTGCTGGGCAACGTTTCGCTTTTGACATGAAAGCTTTGTCAGGCCAAGTGACTAGGTTCGGAGATTGGTCGAGATTTAAGACAGGTTGGGTGTCGGCCGAGGGATTTTAGTGTTAGAGTAGTTGAACAAGTGTTGGGACGGTGGGGTACCTACACGTGTTTGGGTCCAGCCTAGGTCCTAGTTCTTCTGGTTCGGTTCGTTTGATGGTCCCTCTTGAACGTCGTTTGAACCTTCTGTCAGTCTGTGTGGGTGAGCTAGTGCTAAGATAGTTGTGTAACAGGGATAATGTGACCTTTGGTCGGTTGGGGTTTCCACCCTCACCCCGGTTTTTTCTAATGATCCTAAGTGGATTGACAACCACACCGTCACGTGTCAACTCGGCTTAGCTAAAACCGCTTTCCATACGCTCACCAGTTCCACACCCTCGATTCTGTCCACGCTCTGAAGCTTGTAATTTCCACCGCCTCGGCTATCAGCCGTTGTGGTGTGAATCACAGTCCCGGTCTTAAAACTTCCACATTCTCCAGATCTTCAACATCTTCGATCAAACACAGAAGTCACTCTTTTCTCTGAAACAATGTGGTTAAGAATACAACAACAAAAACTGTGTTCACAAAAATAGCTGTTTCAGTCTGGAAACTGACATTGGAACTGACCACCGTCTTTCCATCTCCTCTCACACCATTATTGCTCTAACAAAATGAACTAAAGAGATCCGATGATCCAAATATCAAACAAGTTTTCTACGTCTTGTAGTGCGGTACCCAGCATTCACCATTTCTATCTTTAAACGTGAATAAAGATGGAATTTAATCATTTCAATTCCGGGCTTC